ACACAGTGGCCAGAAATACCAGGGGCCATCAGGAGGTCCAGCAGTGGGGCCAGGACACTAGGAGCCCTCCCACTGTTGCTCCCCCCCAAGCACCAAGAAGACAGAGCATCCCTTGCCCCAGACTGATAGTTCCTATAAGAACATCAGAGAAGCCAACGTTGGATCAGGCCAATGGCCCATCCAGTCCAACACTCTGTCACACAGTGGCCAGAAATACTAGGTGCCATCAGGAGGTCCAGCAGTGGGGCCAGGACACTAGAAGCCCCCCCACTGTTGCTCCCCCCCCAAGCACCAAGAAGACAGAGCATCACTTGCCCTCGTACTCCCACACACATGATACGCTGTAGATTAGGCTTCTCTCTCTTCTTTTGACTGCCACCTGAATGTGAACTGGGCCTACTTGAATAAATGTATTTTTTAAAGCTTTTTTGGCAATATTATGCATTCAGAAGATCATTTACTCACAATCGTCCGGATAGCTGGGTGGAAAGTTACATCTTGTGATCTAGGTTAGTTCAATAGCTGCAGTGAGAAAGAGATGGGCTTCCCCTCTCCTTGCAGAAAGGGTTGATGAACAAAGAAAACGGAAAAGAACAATAAAATCCTATCTTTGTGCCTCTGAGCTCAGGAAATTACTCTTACTGAGCCAGTCAGAGGGAAGCTTCTGGGACCCCTAACTGTGGACTCCAATTCCCAGGTGCACAAGTCTTAAAGATACACAGCAGTTTTACTAAACTACAGATAACGCTGACTAGGGGCAGCATAAATATACTTCTTGGGAGACTGACTTACTTCACTCAGTATCACACCTCTGTGACTGGCCAAATCTCAGGACTGAGGAGAATGTGTGGCTAAAACGTCCCAGTGTTTTGGGATTGGCTCAGCCCCTGTGGCAACCATGTTTTGTGTCACCCACGGCACGTTCTCAAGATTCCAAACGCGCCCACAGGTCCAACAGGGTTGGGGATCTGATGCCACGGAAAAAAGAGTCCGCTCATCTCGTATTGTTTCATTCCATTGTCTTGCACCATGTAATCTGCCTTGAGCCTCTGTGAGAAGGTCAAGCTATAAATAAGATACATAAAAGAAATATACAGAGGCAGCAAACCTCTGAACGGTGGTACTGGGAGCAACACCAGGGAAGGCCTTGGCCTCTCTGTCCTGTTTGTTTGGCTGTCCGGGGCAACCAGTTGGCAGCTGGTGTGAGACAAGATGCTGGATTCGATGGACCACTGCTCTGACCCAGCAGGGCTCTTCTGGTGTTCTAACAAAGTTCGCGGCCTCTGTGCTCTTGTGTTGGCCCTACAGACAAGCTGGCTGACCAGTGGGTGAGACAGGATGCTGGACCAGATGGACCACTGGTCTGATCCAGCAAGGCTCTTCTGAGGTTCTTAGGAAGGCCTTGACTGCTATGCGCTCTCTGCTGGCCCTCCAGAGCAATTGTTTAGCCACTGTGTGAGACAGGATGCTGGACTGGATGGACCACTGGTCTTATCCAGCAGGGGTCTTCTGATGTTCTTATGAAGGCCTTGGACTCTCTGCCCTGTTGTTGGCCCTCCAGAGGAACTGGCTGGCCCCTGTGTAAGACAGGATGCTGGACTAGATGGACCACTGGTCTTATCCAGCAGAGCTCTTCTGATATTCTTATGAAGGCCTCAGACTCTTTGCCCTGTTGTTGACCCTCCAGAGGAACTGGTTGGTCCCTGTGTGAAACAGGATGCTGGACTAGATGGACCCCTCACTGGTCTGATCCAGCAGGGCTCTTCTGATGTTCTTATGCTACCAAGCCCCACTCCCAGAGCTGCCTATCATTAGGTTTCCCAAGATATATCAAGATGGGTGGTTGTGTTAGTCTGTCTGTAGCGGCAGAAAAGAGCAAGACTCCAGTAACACCTGAAAGGCCAACAACATTTGTGGCAGGGTAGGAGTTTTCGTAAATCACTGCTCACATTCTTGATGTATCCGAAGAAGTGAGCAGTGATTCAGGGAAGCTCCTCCCCTGCCACAAGTTTTGTTAATCTTTAGGGTGCTCCTGGACTCTTGCTCTTTTCTGCTGCTTAGGTTTCCCATTTCCCCACTTAGGGCAAGAGACCTCCAACTGATTGCTGCCCTCGCCAGCCGATGCTCCAGTAACTGATGGGTGGAAACTGGAACCAAAGGGGATTCAGTTTGTCCTGGGGAGAAAAATTTAAAAGAGAAAAATAAGGCCTGGTTTACTGACAGGAAGTTGTGACCATAGGGTTTCCTGGCAATTCCTAGAGCTACCCAGAAGTCTTGAGGGCGGCGTTCCCTCTGAGCTGAGTTAGTGTGAGCTAGCTCACAGTTTTTTAACTTCCAGCTCACAGATTTTTGTCTTTGCTCAGGAAGGAATGACTCCAGAGAAAACTAATCTATGCAGTAGCCAAATCACTCGCTCACAACTTTAATGCCAGTAGCTCACAAAGAAAGTAGAATTTTCGACTCACAAGACTCCACAGCTTAGAGCAGTGGTTCTCAACCTTCCTAATGCCGCGACCCTTTAATACAGTTCTTCATGTTGTGATGACCCCCAACCAGTGTTCCCTCTAAGCTGAGTTAGTGTGAGCTAGCTCATAGTTTTTCAGCCTCCGGCTCACACATTTTTGTCTTAGCGGGCTTCCCCTCTCCTTCCCCTCTCCTTCCCCTCTCCAAAGCAGCCATTTTCTCCAGGGGAACCTATCCCTATAACATGGAGATCAGTCGCAGCCCCAAGAGATCTCCAGCTACTGCCTTCTATTCATGTATAAAATGGAAAAAGTGTGACTCCTGTGAAAGCACTCCATTTGACTGTAACTCCCCCAAAATGAATTTTCTACTAGCGATTGTGCTTTGTTATCGGTAAGTTATTTAAACATTTTGAAAATGTATATTGTATAGGTAGTTCTTACTATAGTGATGGTTTGCCAATTTATTCTTTATAGGCCTATGAAGAAAAAATATTCCCCTTCGGGGGGCCAAAAAGAAAAAATATGTGAGCATCAGGCTTCATTTCTACCCTTATAGATGAGACAAAAATCTGGAAATTATCTGTATGTATAAGAATTTTTATTGTCTTCTACATTAAGTAGGCTATTTGGATTGGAGTATCCTTGAAGAAATATCTTCTTGTAAATGTTTATTTGTAGATAGAATCTTGTTCGGGAGGAGGAACGTCGAAATGACACAGGACATTCCGGCGCACGTCGTTAACATCATTTGCTTCATTAAAAACCACCTGTCTATTTGAAACTGACTGTATTTTTGTATCCCAACCTTGTAAAAAAAAAAAAAAGCATATCACTTTAACTTATTTTTTAACAGCATATGTTTTCTGATTTTTGCAGTACTGCATTATTTAGTTTAGCGCACGTATCACCGTAATTATCCCTGAGTAGTGTAACTGCCTGGAGGTTGGCAACCCAAGTCTTGCAACTAGCCGGCAAGTGTGCCAACAGAAAGTTGTGTTCCTTCCTCTCTGAACATTTGTTTTCCCATCCAGACTGGGGACTTCTAACATACTTGAAGAATCAGAGAAAGATGGGAAAGTCAAAATATTTCAGAGGCTATCTTGCTGGAGAAGATGAAGGTCCGTCTGACCTCGTTGTCTCACTTCAGGATGCTCACAGACAGGGCACAGCGGTTATCACCCACCCTCCTCTTGTTTATCCCTGAGCAGCGGCACCCATCTGTTTCCAAAGGTTGCCCGGCGGTGAAGTCAGGGGGTGAACATCGTGCAAACCCTTCAGGATCCTCAAAATGCTCCACCGAGTCGAGGCGGCCTCCTTCCATGACTGATCTGCCCCACGCACCAAAGGACAACTTTCAAGGCACCGCTCATCTGGGGTTGATCTAATCATATTTTTTAAAAGGTTGAGAGCTCTAAAGCTCCCCAAGGAGAAGCTCTGAAAAAGGGAAAATACGTCGAGGCGTCGCATCTGATTTTCCTAATTGAAAGAGACTTCCACCATGCAAATGTCATCTCGGAGCAATTGTCTCTAAGTGATTGGCGGTGCCCACAGAACACCCTTCCCAGGGACCTAATGGCACACGGCATTTCCCTGGCACTTCAAGCAAGCCGAGAGCTCATCTCCTGCCATGTCACAAAGCTTTAATTTACTTAACCAAATATCTATAAAAGGCACATTTGGTTAAGTAAATGAGAGATGAGTTGCTCGTATGGAAAACGGCTTTGATGTAAAGGCTTCTCTCTCCCCCGTGCCCACCCACCCCCACCCCGGGCCACCGCTACATGGTCCCTAACTTCGGGACAATCTGTTCACACCAGATTCAGGATGGAAGATAGATATGCCTGAAAGGGCACAGCTAGTTACGAACATTTTTGTCAGGATCAGAAAACTAAAGAAGACAAAAATGTCACCAAGTTTTTCGGAGCGACCTGCAAAAACGTTTGCTTTTTGTTCGGAACTTGGCTGCCTCTCTCAGGCCCCGGCCACATGGCAAAGTTGCCGCGGGAGAGGCACGGCAGTCCCGCGGATTTTCCGGGCACGATCTCACCCCAACATCTGGGAAGCGCAGTGCTCCCGTGGCGAACCCGTGACTCTCTGCCGAAGGCGCGGAGTTAACAACTAGTACCTACGAGGTATCCTCTTCCTGAAACCGCGGGCCAAAGGCGGGCGTCTGATTGCATTCCCGGTGGCCTTACGTGGCATCCGGCGCCCGCCACTGTTCGTCTCCACAGGTTGCGAAACAGTGCCCAACAGCGCATGCGCACAAAGAGCGATTGCTAGTGCGATCGCATGGCGTGGCTTCTGTGCTGCGCTGCAGGATACCCGTCTGATCGGCATTTCCCCCAAACCACGGGACCTCGACCGGGATGTGTGCTCGGGCGGCTGCGCATTCGTTTCCTCCGGGGCAATTAGCCACGCCTCCCCCCCCCCGCGATATCCAGCCCGTGTGACCGGGGCCTCAGTTCACTTTGGTTGCTCTCCCTGCAGCTTTTATTTAGACTGAGCCAAACGGCGACCTAATGTTGTGATAGGGGAGGGGATGTGGCTCAGGGGTAGAGCGTCTGCTTGGTATGTAGAAGGTCCCAGGTTCAATCCCCGACATCTCCATTTAAAAGGATCAGGCAGGAGGTGACGGGAAGGACCTCTGCTTCAGATACTGGAGAGCCCCTGACAGTATCTGAAGCATTCATGGTAAGGTAGCTTAATTTGTATTTACGTGATGTCAGTCTGTTTGGAAGAAGAAGGAGAAGCAGGAGGAGAAGGAGGAGGAGGAGAAGAAGAGGAGGAGGAGGAGGAGATTGGATTTATACCGCGCCCTTCACTACCCAAGGAAGCCTCAGAGCGGCTTACAATCTCCTTTCCCTCCCCCTACCCACAACAGACACCCTGTGGGGTAGGTGGGGCTGAGAGAGCTCTGACAGAAACTGCTCTTTTTCAAGGACAGTTGTTGTCAGAACTACGGCTTGCCCAAGGTCATCCAGCAGCTGCGAGTGGAGGAGTGGGGAATCAAACCCGGTTTCCCCAGATTAGAGTCCGCGCACTTGACCACTACACCAAACTGGATTACACAGAGCGAGTCAATATACTCAGCAGGATGGGATAAACAATGCAATAGGATCCAGGTTATAGAACCAACAAGAAGTCTAGAACTTCTTTTAGAACCGAAGCAAAGCAGATGTCTTAACACAACACATTAAATGATGCAAAATTCCACAGTAGGATCCTCGTTTCAGCAAACGATACACAGTAGTATAGACTCCTGTCCCTAATTATTTATTTATCTAAGTCGCTTTGTGACTCATTCTGTGCCGTGCTACCGTATTGCCTGCGTAGAAAAGCCGTCTGGACCAATTCAGTTTTGTATAGATTCTGGTGGGAAGCCAGGTTGCTCCGAAGCAGCAGAACAAAGAGAAGAGAAGAAGCAGCGATTGGATTGATACCCCGCCCTTCACTTGGAGTCTCAGAGCGGCTTACAAACTCCTCTCCCTTCCCCTCCCCACCACAGACACCCTGTGAGGTGGGTGGGGCTGAGAGAGCTCTTTTGAGAACTGCCTGTGAGAGAACAGCTCTGGCAGAACTTGTGACTGACCCAAGGTCACACCAGCAGCTGCACGTGGAGAAGTGGGGGAATCAAACCCGGTCCTCCCAGATTAGAGTCCACGCACTTAACCACGACACCAAACTGGCCTGATTGCCTGATCCCTGATTGCTCTCCAACCTTAAAGTTACACCACACTTGGGACTGCACACGGAGCCTTTCTACAAGCTAACAGGCAGCAAGAGGAAAGCCACTCCTGGGGGGTGGGGGAGATGTGCCATTCCAGGGCAGGCCCGTATCCAGGATTTTTTTCGCTTGGGGGGCTTTTAAATCTTTAAGGGGGCAGTTAAATTACAGTTAATTCAATTAATTGGAATGCCGTTTGTTGGAGTTTTATTGCTGGAGAGGTGCTGGAGGTGCCAGTCTTGAGTGCCTGTGGAAGACATTTAAATGCCCTCCGGACTTTCTTTTCCCAGGGCCCATGGTCCCCCCCCCCAAATTCCCCAGTGGGAGGGAGGGGAAAGCCTGCGCTCTTACCCTGGCTGCCACCGGCAACAGGCAGTGTGTGTGTGGGGGTATCTCTCCTCAAAAATGAGGTTTCTGGCATGGTTATTTGTGGGGCGGGGTTTTTACTTTATTTATTTATTTATTTGTTTTTCACATTTATACCCCGCCCTCCCCAATGGGCTCAGCGTGGCTTACAGAGGCAAGGCAGAACCTAGCCATCATAAAAACATAATATATATATAATAATTTAAAACACATAATACATCTTAAAAATCCCAAATTAAAACATGGTGCTCAAGAACTTCCATAGTCCAAAGATGACGGATCGTCGGTCCAAGGCTCCAAGCAGACGGCTTAGGGCTTCTTCCATTCAGATGTCTCCTCAGGGCCTCGTCCAACCCATGGCGGTGGTGGTATAGTAGGGGCGGCGGCTCCTACTCAAAAGCCTGGCGGAAGAGCTCCGTCTTGCAGGCCCTGCGGAACTGCATAAGATCCCGCAGGGCCCGGATCTCCTCCGGGAGCTCATTCCACCAGGTAGGAGCCGCCACCAAGAAAGCCCTGGTCCTAGTAGCGGCTAGTTTGGTATCCTTGGGGCCCGGGATGGTTAAGAGATTTTGGGCCCCAGACCGTAGTGCTCTTGGGGGAACATACGGGGAAAGGTGGTCCCTCAGGTAGGTTGGACCCTGGCCATATAGGGCTTTATAGGTAAGAACCAGCACTTTGAAGCGAATCCGGTACGCTACTGGCAACCAGTGCAGCGCTTTCAGCTCAGGTGGAATATGGTCCCTTCTCGAGAGACCCATTAACAGCCTGGCTGCAGCATTCTACACCAGTTGCAGCTTCCGGATTTGCGACAAAGGCAGCCCCATGTAGAGAGCGTTGCAGTAGTCTAACCTCGAGGTGACCGTCGCATGGATCACTGTGGCCAGGTCATCACGGTCAAGGTAGGGGACCAACTGCCGTGCCCACCGCAGATGGAAGAAGGCAGACTTGACATTGGCTGCCACCTGGGCCTCCATTGTTAGTGTGGAGTCCAGGAGCAGCCCCAAACTCCGAACCCCAGACGCTGGTACCAAAGGCACCCCGTCGAAGGTCGGGAGAGGGAGCCCTAACCCCGCCCCAGCCCGACTCAGGCCCAAGACCTCCATCTTTGTCGGGTTTAGTTTCAATCGGCTCAGCCGGAGCCAACCAGCCACAGCTTCTAATGCTCGATGAAGGTCATCGGGACTCGAGTCCGACCGGCCACCCAGCATCAGATAGAGCTGGGTGTCATCTGCATATTGATGACACCCAAGCCCATACCTCCAGGCAATCTGGGCAAGGGGGTGCATTTAGATGTTAAATAGCATCGGGGACAGAACTGCTCCTTGTGGTATCCCACACTCAAGGGGATACCTACGGGAGCGCCGGTCCCCAACAACCACCCTTTGTCCCCGACCTTGCAGGAAAGAGGCAAACCATTGAAGGGCAAGCCCCTGTATCCCCACGTCGGCAAGGCGGTGGGTCAGCAACTGGTGGTCGACAGTGTCGAACGCAGCCGACAGGTCTAAAAACCCCAGCGCCGCCACACTACCTCGATCCAGATGCCTCCGGAGATCGTCAGTCAGGGCGACCAAAGCCGTCTCAGTCCCATGGCCTGGGCGGAAACCGGACTGGAAGGGATCTAAGACTGAAGCATCCTCCAGAAAGCTCTGTAACTGTAACGCCACCGCCCACTCTATAATTAAGGGGGCAGGGCCCCGAAATGCCCCACTGTGGCTACGGGCCTGTTCCAGGGGCACAGAGCAATTCAGTGCCTTACAAATGTGCAATAGACAATAGACGAGAGCCAGTTTGGCGTCGTGGTTAAGTGGGTGGACCCTAGTCTGGGAGAGCCGGGTTTGATTCCCCACTCCTCCACTTGCACCTGGCTGGATGACCTTGGGCAAGCCCAATGGGATGTAGGGATGTAGGGATCTATAGCTGCCCCTTCCCTGTATTCCCTGTATTCCTTCTTGGCAAATCTGACTGAATTAGGTTTGGTGTAGTTACAGAAATCAGATGGCCAGTATCCAGTTTATGACATACATACATAGTCTTTATGCATAGAAGAACTGAGCAAGGGTTAAAAGAAAAATGATTGCACACAGTCCTCTAATCCTGATTTAAACATAACCTTAAAAGATGGAGACTTTAGGGTAGTATGGACAATGGGAAGACACCCACGCAAAAATCTAAAGTAGCAAATGAGCTGTAAATGCTGCAACTTCAGTAATGATTTGCCTACCCTAAAGTCTCCATCTTTTTAAGGTTATGTTTAGATCAGTTCAGTTCAGTTAACCTTTATTGGCATAAAATACTTTAAAAGGATTACTATAAAAAGGAATATACATTTAAAACCATACACAGCCAAACTTATAAAACATAATGTAGCATAAAACATTTAATTATTGGAAATTTGCCTGACGTAGTTTTATCACCGCTTGTAAAAACATGGCTACGTTCATTGATATTCCTGGATCAGAGTCATTTAGAAGACGGTGCACTTTTAAGGCATCGGAAAGGTTCGTCATGTTGGCAAGGATGGGATTTAAATATCTAGCACGTAAAACCACATAAAGTTGGCCATTCAAACAAATATGCGAAACAGATTCAGTACATCCAGAGTCGTAATGGCAAAGTCTATCCGCATATACTATGTCATTATATCCCCCATACAAGATTGCTGATGGAATTACATTGAATCTTGCTAGAGAAAAGGCTCTACACTGTTGTGGTGCATGATAAAAAGTAGAGACATCACCCTGCCAACAAAAGTCCCCATGGTCAAAGCAATGGTATTCCCAGTAGTCATGTATGGCTGCGAGAGTTGGACTATAAGGAAGGCCGAGCGCCGAAGAATAGATTCTTTTGAACTATGGTGCTGGAGAAGACTCTTGAGAGTCCCCTGGACTGCAAGAAGATCAAATCAGTCAATCCTAAAAGAAATCAACCCTGACTGTTCCCTGGAAGGCCAGTTAATGAAACTGAAGCTCCAATACTTTGGCCACCAAATGAGAAGGGAGCACTCACTGGAGAAGACCCTGATGCTGGGAAAGACTGAAGGTCAAAGAAGACGGGGACGGCAAAGGATGAGATGGTTAGACAGTGTCATCGATGCAACGAACATGAAGTTGAGCCAACTTCAGAGGACGGCGGAAGACAGGAGGGCCTGGCGGGAGCTGGCCCATAGGGTCGCGAAGAGTCGGACTCGACTGTGCGACTGAACAACAACAAAAATACCAGATAGATATGGGGTCATTCGGCCTATTGTAAAGGGCAGCTCAAAGTTCAGGGGGGAACAAGTTTTGTTGGCTAAGCTGTAAAGCATTTGTATTTCAATATCAATGGCTCTACATTTAATCATCTGAAAAGCACCTGTAAATGGGAGCACAGACAATGAGCCGGCAGTCTTTGAATGGCAACCCAGAAAACATACTATGCATTAAGCAGCAGATATCCTGCAAGATTAGTTGGTAGCAGTGGATGAGACCCAGAGAAAACTTAACCCAGTGTAATATTTCGGAGTCCTGTTCGTCTTTGA